AAAAAATCGGAAATCACATAAGCTTAAAAATTCAAAAGTTAGTGAAAATTTTCTAAAATGTTTATAATTTTTCAAAAATAAGAACATCCACGTCGATAAAAGTAAAACTAATAACTACGAAATTTTAGTTCAAAAAATAAATAAATATAAACACAACATAATATCTAATAAAACCTCTAACAACAATTCATTATGTCAAAATCCTAAAACAAAACTTATAGGTGTATTTTTCGGAAAAATAAGTATTCTATAATATTTATTATTTATAGGTGTATTTTTCGGAAAAAAAATCGGAATTTTTCAGAATTAATTTCGGAAATTAAATCGGATCGAAAATCGGAAATTCCAAATTTATTTTATATAATTTCAATTCCAATCCAAAAAATGGGAAAAATTCAGAAATCGAAATTTTGGAAGTCGGAATGAAAAAAGGTTTTCCGAAATTGGAACTTTTCATCGGAACCGGCGGAAATTGGAATTTCCGTTCCAACTTGCACCCCTATTAGAGCAACTCCAATGCTAAATACCAAAATGGAATTATCAAATATCTATATAATATATGAGATAATATTTTAATATTGATTAAAATTCATCAACTCCAACCATGGTTATCAAATTAATTATCAATTGGCAGTTTATGGGTGATTTTTTTTTTGTAATTGCCACATGTCCACTTTTGATTGGACGTTTAGATAGTTACACTCTTTATAACTCAATTTCCAGCAAGTATTTTTACATCCCAAAAGTTGAATTATCAAAATAGAACCCTAATTTGATCACCCATTGGAGTTTTCTATTTTTTGGTGTATAAATAGTGATTAATGGTTTGAATACCATGTTTGATAACCATTGGAGTTGCTCTTAGAGCAACTCCAACCCATTGTTATCAAATAGGGTTATCAAATACTCATTTGATAACCAAGATTATACTTTGATATCTCTATACAACTAGTGAACTCCAACCACAAGTATCAAAAAGCAATTATCAAATAAATTTGTAATTATTTATATATTATTTATTTATTAATCCATTTTAAATAACCATATGATGATGCTAATAATAAATCACCTAGGGTATTAGATTAGAAAGAACTGGGAGAGTAAAGTCGGTCACATGCTCACGAGCTAGATGGCCCTGAAAGACTCTAATTAATTTAATAATCCTGCGAACAGAAAACACGTAATCTAAGTCGGGGGTTGATCCGGCGGAAACCCCTCCGACGCTCAGGTCAGACGTGCGGATAATCGATAATAGCTGAGAGAATTTGATTACAAGAATTGATTGAATAATAAAAACGTACCTTAATTAAATGAATTTAAGTTCTATTTATACTTCACTGATCGGGCCGAGATCAATTTATCGGACCCAATCCTTATTTGAAGATGATTGGGCCTCCGGAGTAATAGTTTTAAACTGGGCTTGTGGCCCAATAAATATGGGTCTATTGGGCCGGACCAATAGACATATCATTAAGCCCCCCACTTTCGAATCGATGTAGGAGCGAAGTTGAGGGAGGTGCCGGATCGTGTCGAGAGTAGATTCACTTTTTGATGTTCAAGCTTGTGTCGTGGAGGAGGAGATAATAATAAAATATTATTATTATTTTGCCATCTGTATTTGCAGTCGGATTTATATTTAAGGTCCTTAAATATAAAATTTGTTCGGAGGAAGCTATTTCTTTGGAAGTCCGTTGGAAGAAGTGTCAAGATTCGCGTGGAATAAATATGGGTGAGTAATAAATTTTTATCCCCGTATTTTATTTATTTTTCTTCATATACTTTGTTGTAGAAAAGAATATATTTTCTGGCTGAGATGTTCGTCAGATAAAATACTTTATATGATCGAAGCGGGGAAGGTAAAACAATTGAAACTTATACTGCGAAAGTCGATTGGGGAGAACGATATGACGTTTGGAACCGTAGGGAAGGTGATTGGGTCGAATTCCGGTAAAAAAATTGCACCAGAGGAAGAGATCGCGCGTTCCGGTAACACGCAATTAGGGTTTGTCGGAGCTATTGGTGCGGAGCTAGTAGACCAAGCCGCGCGACTCGAGGATGAGAGAGGAGCCGCGCGACTTGGCTCCGCGCAACTTGGAGCCGCGCGTTTGGTGTGTGAGGGACGAGCCGTGCACGGAGTCCGGAGTAGGGGGTGGGGCAGGTGAGAGAAGGAGGAGAGAGAGAGGGGGGGGTGGGTGAGGCAGGAGAGAGAGAGTGGGGAGGGGGGGTGGGGGGGGGGGGGGGGTTGGTGCTGGAGGGCGACGCGCGTGGGAGCGCGTCTAGCCCTGTTTCGGGCGCGTGGGAGGGGGGTTTTCGGGCGTTTTCGAGGAGCGACGACGTGCTTTTTCTCCGGGTGATAATTTGGTACCAAATGTTGGTATTACTAATATTGTTGATGAGGTTGGTACTAGTAGGTGACGTCTTAGATCCCAATTTGTGGATTTTGGGAGTGATAGTGAAGAATTAGAGGGATTCGAGAGTGATGTAGATCCGGATGGAGATGTGGGAGGTGAGGTTGACATTCCACGCGAAGATGTCATTGTAGACAAAAATAGAGGGAACAAAATAAAACCAATTAATCTTGACTTGGTGGATTTTGATACTTCGTTAACCAAATCGCAATTCCGGGTTCTTCGTCAGCTAGTTGGGGCTCCGAGGAATATTGAGATGCTCTTGCCTAAAAAAGGCGAACGATTGTATGCCCCCTGACGGGTTCCACACCTTAACTTATTTGACATGTACTTCGCAGATTGTGCCTGACTCGACCCTTTTGAAGATATGCGAAGAATTTAGGGTAGGGTATAATCAATTAACTCCGAACGTGATTCTCACGTTCGAGGCGTTTCAACAAAGAATGGGCGAAGTAGGATTACCGATTAGTGTCGAGATGTTCAAGGCGTTGTTTACACTACATTGTACAAGTAGTTTACCCTTATTCTGCACACATCTTCGGGTTCCTTACAAATTTTTGAAGGCGATTCAATTGAATTGGGAAAAATAGAGTACTTTATTTTTCTATGTGAGGGCTCCGACGTTCGATGTTCCCCTTGATTGGAATCCGGTATGCGAAACTTTCAAGATAATGAAGAATATGAAGAAACGGATTATAGAGTCGAGGTTGTGTGATTTGGAGTTTGATCCGAGTTATATGATACCGAAGGGTCAGGCATCTATATCCTTTTGTGTAGTCTACTCGATTTATTTATGCATATGTGTTTTATTTTTTCTTGTCTCTGCTATTTCTTATTATCCACCTGTTAGTAAAGGGTTGCTTTATTTTTTTTAGATGGGTGTATTGATTTTGCCTCCCTTCGGGATAATGCTACTAGAGGTGCGAAAAAACAAGCGAGGAGGGACCCCTTGAAGCAAGCGAAATCAACTAGTAACAAATCGCGCGAAGTGACCCGCGTGGAGGCCCCTCATGTGAGTGGAGATGATCGTAATCATAGTGTTGAGGGGGATGAGCTGGATCGCGTGGTTAATAATGGGAAGGATAAGGTGGTTGAGATCGAGTATGTGCCTGCACCGAAACGGCCTTGAATAATGGCAAATGCCTGTTCACTTACGGGGTGAACCAAGAGAGGAAGGATTCATTTTGGGATACGATCGATCATACAATCGCGCTGAGGAAGACTGAGGGTTTCGTTGGGGAGTACGACCGAAGTCGGATATCGGGTAAAGGTCGTGCTCATATGCTCTCGTTGGCCGGAGGAGACATGTGTCGGGTAAATATTTGTTTTAAGTTAATATGTTTTTCGTTTTTAATCATAAGTGTCGATAATCTAGTGTTTTCTGTCTATACTTTGATATAGCTCATAGCTACATGGAGGTATGTCGTGGAGCAGGAGGAGCAAGTCGAAAAGACCAATGAAGAGGAGCGTGTTGGCTGGGAGGCAAGAGAGAAATATTTAAAGGCTCAATTAGAGGCAGAGGAATCCAAACTCGAGGTGGCCCACACTTTGCTCATTCAGAGGACCGATGAGTTAGAGATTAGTAGGAGCGAGACCGAGGCGAGTAGAATTGAATTAACAAAACTAGATCGGTGCTATGACGAGCTGAAGGTGAAATATGATACCGAGAAGTTTACGGGGAAGAGGTTTATGGATTCATCAGCTGGAGCCGCCTACAAGGACTCGGTTATGTTAGAAGGGGAGCGTCGTTTTAAGAAGAGTGATATATGTCGAGCAATGATTGAGGAACGAGCGATAGCTGGGGTTTATGCTCCGTCAGTACTTACGCAAGGTTGGTGGGATTGACGAGAAGGTTATTCGAGGTATGGAGGAGGATATTCCCGATGAAGGAGAGGATATCGATGTCGAGTGTACTGAAATAGCCTCGGATGCGGAGGCGGATAACCGAACTACCGAAGCTACCTCGGCTCGTAAAGTGTAGTTTGGTGTGATGTTTTTCTTACTTACTTTAGAAGGACTTATTTTTTTTTATTAAGTGGGTATGTCCCCTAGTACTTTTGCATGCTTCATGACTTTATATTCGTTTGCACGTTGACACGTGGATTTTATTATCAAAGTTATTTTCCCTTCTTATTTATTGATTTTGTCACGGTGTGATACGTTGCACTAATGTTTTACATTTAGTATTGTGCGTGATGTACTTGATGAGGGGATCAGTCTCTCAAGATTTTTTTTATTAGGGATCATGTCCTTTATTTTGGACCTCGTGGGTCGTATACATTGTTTGGACCGTGGCCACGTTTTAAAAATGAGGACCCCGTAAATCAACATAGAGAGATTCAGGTAATCCAGCTGGCCAAGCTATATAGATTATCTTAATCTCTCTAATTGTTTGTAGGGTTGTAGTGATATGAATCCATCATAACGGTTAAGTAGTATACGAACCATAACATTAAGAGTAAAGCTAAAACTTTATTTAATCATTAATGTAAAATGCGAATTGTCATAAGCCTCCGCGAGGCGAAGGGAAACAAACTTGTAAAAAACAAATGAGTCGAAATATAGAAAACTATTCTACGTGATTATAAGAATTTATTCTTCTTCCACGTCTTCCTTGTACTCGTCCGTGCTTGCTGTACGAGTGGTATGTCTACTGTCTTTGGTGACTCTATGCCTGAAAAGTATAGTAGATTTTTTTTAAGTATTTGTATTGAAGACTTAGTAGTTTCATAAATTGGGGTGATGCGTATTACAACTCATGTACCCAATATGGGGACTGTTTCTCTTTCTCGCATTCCGAGATATGACATCAACTCGTGAGTTGCGGTGATTTTCTGCGTAAACATGCCTGTCAAAGGAGATGACATTACTATGTTAGTATAGATATCCAAAAATGTGCGTGTGATATGACTTAGTAGAAGTGGTGTTACCCTTTGTGAGATAGTGCGGGGTATCTTCTCTCTTTGGGCAAGTGACGGGCGGTAGACATCATCTCGTAATTGATTCTCAATCTGTAAGAAGGTGATGATATGTGGTTTTGGAATGCTGATGTAGGTAATATTAATAGCCCCCTAGTTTGGGTGGGACGTTTACGCACCTCGTTATGAAGTGGGAACTTCTCGAGTGTTTAGAGACATTTTTGCAAGACTTGGGGCGTGGAAGGTCGCGAAGCCTGCAAGGGTAGTTGTTTTAAGCGACTTTTGTATGAGGAAGATGTAGATAGTAACTTAAACAAATTTCAAGTAAGGTGGATGTATACCTCAAGCGTAGAACCTTTTGAGGTTTCCTATATTCCAGGTTCTAGGTATATGGTGTCCGTCAAGGTTCTCGAGACGATATGCTCCACTGTTGACCACTTGTGTGATTTTATATGGTCCTTACCACTTCGGGTCGAGTTTACCGATTGGGCGTGAAGCTTCGGTTTTGCGGAGAACTAAATCTCCTATTTGGAAAGAGCGAAGGCGGACTTTGGAGTTATAAGCTTTCGCCATGCGACTCTTGTACATTTGCTGTCGGATAGAGGCAATCTCTCTTAGTTCGTCGACGAGATCGATGTTAGCTCTCATTGCTTCTTTATTTTCCTCTGGAGAATAGTTGATGACTCTCCAAGAGGGTTCGCCAATCTGGTGCCACAGCCTCTGTTCCGAAAGCTAGGTTAAATAGAGATTTCCTGTTGCTGTTCGTGGGGTTGTTTGATATGCCCACACAACATTGGGTAATTCTTCAACCCATTTTCCCATGGCACTTCCAAGCCTTGACTTGAGATATTGAAGTATCGTGCGATTAGTTACTTCATTTTGACCATTTGCTTGGGAGTTGACAACTGAAGTAAAGAATTGCTTAATAGATAAGCCAAGGCTCCAATTCTGTACTTTGTCCCCACAAAATTGGGTTCCATTGTCTGAAATAATGGAACGGGGGATCCTGAAGCGGCACACGATGTTCTTCCAGAGGAATTGGATGATGTCTTCCTCTCGAATGCGAGCTAAAGGTTCTGCTTCCACCCACTTGGTGAAGTAATCTACAGCTACAATGAGAAACTTGCGGTTAGAGTAGGTGACCAACAAGCCAACATCTGGCTGTGGTCTTTCATATTTATTATGGTAATAAATCAAACCTTTTTCGTATTAATGATAAAACACCTTGGCATTATATATCTTTGTCCATTTGTCACAAGCATAGATATAGTCCTTACAGTTATTACAAGTACTAGTAATTAATCGTTAGGATCGTGAGATATTTACTTAAGTATTATAACTGTTAAACGTGTTCCTAGTCGAAGGATTGCGCCACCAATGAGGATATCGGCCTTTCCCATTAAGAGACTAGCACTTAGTGTATGTGTACTGCATCTCATAAGTAAACGGTATTGTGATATCGGCATGCATAAGTGGGTGCTCGTAAGTTGACGAGTTCACTGAACTCCCTCACCCTAGAAATCTCTAAGTAGTTCCCAATAATCGAGTAGAGATATCTGTGGTATAGTTGTACACCATTAGTCCTCATGACCTAGACATCACCGTGACTTCACTAGAGGACCAGCTGCATTGTGACTTGTCCCTGAGTTCCACCGAGGACCATCCCAAGGGCTAGTGTTCGTGCAGTCCGAAATCTAGTGGGAGGTCTGTGCATCGTAGTCGGGGATTCGATCGCTAGAATAGTCTTGGATGTCCTCTGTGTTCTTATAGTTTGTAATCTCTCTAAGTCTGTGGCCAGAGCTGACTAAGTGATGATTAGAGAATTTGATTCTCTAAGTCATGTAAGTAACGACTACAACACTTAGAACGATCGCACAGTCATTGAACTACTAAGGAGGTCTCGATGAACCAATGCGTGTAGTTCAATCGGGGCATATGAATCGAAGGGATCGTACTGTACGCTAACTATATCAAAAGGTTCTTGTAGGCACTTCATTTGTATCTAGGGAATCATGACACGTAGTTGCTAGACACCAATCTTGATTCGTTGGGTGATTAAGGTGAAACGAGTTTCATCTTAATTGTAACTCTAAGGGACGAGTTTTGACCACAAAGGGTTGTGGGCCCACGGCTAGCTTACACCTGAACCATCGAGGGTCACACTGCTCGTGCACATGAGATCTTTGAATAAACGGTGAAAGGTAAAAATGGTTTATCTTTGCATGATTGGAAGTCAATATGATTGGGTCCAACATTCATAATTTGGAATTATGAATGAGAATAAGAAAATGAAAAGAATAGGCGAACATCTTAGTGGACTTTCTAAATCCGGAAATTTCCAAATTTAGAAAGTGCACTGAATTAGGATTTCCACTTTTAGAAAGTTGGAAATTGAGAACTGGCACTCGTAATGACGAGGACATTATAATGATTCTGAAAATGTAATTTTTACAATTTTCCAATCATCGAATTGAGAGAGACGAGCAAGTAAAAGAACTAACGAACTTAAGGTGTTGGGCCCGGTCCAACTTAAGCCCGTTAGGATTTTATGCAAGGCACTATAAATACTTGATTTATAGGTCTTGCACAAGACACAACACACAAACTAAACCCTAGCCGCTCTCACCTCTCTCGGCCGATCTCAACCCGCGGCCACCACCGCTGCCGTCGCCACCATCTCGCTGGAATCGGCCATCCGTTGGCCGATCCTTTTGGTAGGTCTTTTCTCTTTTCGTTTCTTTCCGTTTTATTCCAACTACTTCGTATCTAGTGCCACGTTCTAGTAGATCAAAGTATACGAGGTGAAATCCGAGAGAAGGAAGATCGAAGAATCGTGGAGCAGCCACCGAGCCGACGACGCACGCGCCTCCACGCGCCGCCGAAGACAGCGCGTGAATCACACATGCCGCCGTAGCTCGGATCATCGCCGCTGCTGCATCTCCGTTGCTGCCCCGGATTGCACGGATTGGTTTTCGTGGCAATCTAGCTTTGCTTAGTGCGCCTACCTCACGCTTCAAGAGGTAAAGTTTTGAATCTATTGTCGTTTGATTCGGTTACGTTTCAATTAATATATGCATGTTCGTTTTAGTAAAAATATTGTATGATTTTATGTGACTACATGAAATTGTTTATTTACTGCGAGCATGAATATTTGATTTAAACGCGAGCATGCTAGTTGATTTAATTTCGATTAAGTTATCAAGCATGTATGTTGTTTTTAATTTCGCTGGAAGCGCAAAGGTACGCAATTAATTGTTTTCAATTATCGGGCATGTGTTTATGTGTTTTAAAGTTATTTAAATCGTATAAAATTTTTATTTTCCGCTGCGTACACGTGTCCGATTCCCAACACTTGCGTCCTCCAGTTGCTGGTGGAAAAGGACCGACCAAGTCAACTCCCCATTGGGCAAAAGGTATGGGACTGTCAATCGGTTGCATCTCTGCACTAGTCTCTTCGCATCTTCATGCATGGTGGGCCAATAGTAACCTTGTCTCAATATTTTGAGAGCTAAGTTTTTGCCACTTAAATGATTACCACAGATGCCTTCATGTACTTCTCGTAGCACATAGTCTGCTGCTGATGGGTTAAGGCATTTGAGATATGGGAAGGAGAACGCTCGCTTGTAGAGTTCTTCACCTACCATTAAGAAACGAGCCGCTCTTATCTTTATTTTCTTCGCTTGGACGATGTCAGTCGGAAGTTCCCCACTTTTGAGATAGTTTGTAATGGGGGTGATCCAACAGGGTTCATTCTCTTCAGCGCAATTCACTCCGTCGGTGGAGACTATTTCTGGTTGGGAAGCCGTGAGGAGGGTGATTTTCCGGCTTCCAATGCTTTCCATGGAACTACCAAGTCTAGCCAACTTGTCTGCATCAATATTATTGGCTCGTGGTACTTGCTTTATCTCATAGCTATCCAATTTTGAGAGGAGGGTAAGTGCAAGAGCAAGATACTTTGCCATGGATTCTTCTTTGGCCTCATAGGTCCCAAGGACTTGGTTGACCACTAACTTGGAGTCGCTATGTACTATGAGTTTGTGAGCTCCAGCTGCTAAAGCGAGGCTGATTCGAACAATCAAAGCTTCATATTCGGCTTCGTTGAGCATATTCGGCTTCGTTCGGCATGCATAAGTGAACTCCCTCACCCTAGAAATCTCTAAGTGGTTCCCAATAATCGAGTAGAGATATCTATGGTATAGTTGTACACCATTAGTCCTTATGACCTAGACATCACCGTGACTTCACTAGAGGACCAGCTGTATGGTGACATGTCCTTGAGTTCCACCGAGGACCATCCCAAGGGCCAGTGTTCGTGCAGTCGGAAATCTAGTGGGAGGTTTGTGCATTGTAGTCGGGGATTCGATCACTAGAATAGTCTTGGATGTCCTTTGTGTTCTTATAGTTTGTAATCTCTCTAAGCCTCTGGCCAGAGCTGACTAAGTGATGATTAGAGAATTCGATTCTCTAAGTCATGCACGTAACGATTACAACACTTAGAACGATCGCACCGTCATTGAAAAAATAAAGAGGTCTCGATGAACCAATGCCTCTAGTTCAATCGGGACATATGAATAGAAGGGATTGTACTGTAAGTTAACTATATCTGAAGGTTCTTGCAGGCACTTCATTTCTATCTAGGGAATCATGACGCGTTGTTTCTAGACGCCAATCTTGATTCGTTGGGTGATCAAGGTTAAACGAGATTCATCTTAATCGTAACTCTAAGGGACGAGTTTGGACCACAAACGGTTGTGGGCCCATGGCTAGCTTACACCTGAACCATCGAGGGTCACACTGCCCGTGCACGTGAGATCTTTGAATAAACGGTCAGAGATAAAATGGTTTATCTTTGCATGATTGGAAGTCAATATGATTGGGTCCAACATTCGTAATTTGGAATTATGAATGAGAATAAGAAAAGGAAAAGAATAGGCAAACATCTTAGTGGACTTTCTAAATCTGCAAGTTTCCAAATTTAGAAAGTGCACTAAATTAGGGTTTCCACTTTTGGAAAGATGGAAATCGAGAGTTGGCACTCGTAATGACGAGGACATTATAATGATTCCGAAAATGTTATCGTTACAATTTTCCGATCATTGAATTGAGAGAGACGAGCAAATAAAAGACTAACGAACTTAAGCTGTTGGGCCCGGTCCAACTTAAGCCCGTTAGGGCTTTTATGCAAGACACTATAAATACTTGATTTATAGGTCTTACAAAAAAATAACACACGAACTAAACCCTAGCCGCTCCATTACCTCTCTCGGCCGATCTCAACCCGCGGCCACCACCGCCGCCGTCGCCACCATCTCGCTGGAATCGGCCATCCGTTGGCCGATCCTTTTGGTATTTCTTTCCTTCTTTTTGTTCTTCCGTTTTTCTAACTATTACGTGTCTAGTGCCACGTGTTTAGTAGATCGAAGTATACGAGGTGAAATCCGAGAGGAGGAAGATCGAGGATCGAAGAATCAAGGAGCAGCTACCGAGCCGACGACGCACGCGCCTCCACGCGCCGCCCGAAGTCAGCGCGTGAACCACACGCGCCGCCGTAGCTCGGATCTTCGGTGCTGCTGCATCGCTGTTGCTGCTCCGGATTGTACGGATTGGTTTCCGTGGCAATCTAGCTTTACTTAGTGCGCCTACCTCACGCTTCAAGAGGTAAAGTCTCGAATCCATTGTCGTTCGATTCGTTTTCGTTTAAGTTAATATATGCATGTTCGTTTTAATAAAAACTTGTATGATTCTATGTGTCTACATGAAATTGGTTTTATTAATGCGAGCATGATTATTTGATTTAAACGCGAGCATGTTAATTGATTTAATTTCGGTTAAGTAATTAAGCATGTATGTTATCTTTAATTTCGCTGGAAGCGCAAAGGTACGCAATTAATTGTTTTCAATTATCGGGCATGTGTTTATGTGTTTTAAAGTTGTTTAATTCGCATAATTTTTTTTTTCCGTTGCGTACACGTGTTCGATTCCCAACAAAAGCAACAATCAATTGAAAACGAGAAGGCTCCAACTCAAGAACTTCAAGTTTCTTCCGTAGGGCTGATTCATGTAGATCAAGTGATGACGTTAATCAGTGAAACCCTCAAAGACAAGTTGGAAGGGAGCTCTAAGTCGCCATCAACCTATGTCAAGCCCTACACGCCAAGGATTGATTATCTAAAGATGCCAATGGGCTACATATATACCTCCAAAGTTTCAACAATTTGACGACAAAGGCAACCCCAAGCAACATGTGGCACACTTCGTGGAGACTTGCAATGACGCCGGAACGCACGGAAACCACATCGTCAAGGAATTCGTCGGATCGCTCAAAGACAATGCGTTTGATTGGTACATTGATTTGGGGGAAAACTCCATCGATGGTTGGAAGCACTTAGAGGAAGAATTTCTCAACTGCTTTTACAGCACTCGAAGAACAGTCAGCATGATTGAACTCACCAATTCCCGCCAGTGGAAGAAGGAACTTGTCATCGACTACATCAACCGTTGGAGAAATTTGAGTCTTAATTGCAAGGATCGACTGTCTGAGACATCATCTATTGAACTGCGCATCCAAGGAATGCAATGGGGACTCCGATATATCCTTCAAGGAATTCAACCTAAGAGTTTTGAAGAGTTGGCCACTCGAGCACACGAGATGGAATTGAGCATAACTGCATAAGGAGTCGAAGAACCTTCATTCCAAAAGCCGTACCAACTCAAAGAAGAACATGTTGACGAAGAACAAGAAGATCGTGAGGATGGGGGAAAGTGCTTTGAAGAACCAACACCTTATGCAACGTGAAAAGTCAAATCAAATCAAGCACTCCTTGACACGAGTTTAAAAGGTCTACAAGTCCAAATCAAGTGAAACACTCCTTGACACGAGTTTAAAAGGTCTACAAGTCCAAATCAAGTAAAGTACTCCTTGACACGAGTTTAAAAGGTCTACAAGTCCAAATCAGTGAAACACTCCTTGACACGAGTTTAAAAGGTCTACATGTCCAAATCAAATGAAGCACTCTTTGACACGAGTTTTATAGGTCTATATGTCCAAATCAAATGAAGCATTCCTTGACACGAGTTTAAAAGGTCTATATGTCCAAATCAAATGAAGCACTCCTTGACACGAGTTTAAAAGGTCTACATGTCTGAATCAAATGAAACACTCCTTGGCACGAGTTTAAAAGGTCTATAAGTCCAAATCAAGTGAAATACTCCTTGACACGAGTTTAAAATGTCTACAAGTTCAAATCAAGTCAAAACTCCTTGATACGGGCATAAACTATCCAAATCAAATCAAGGTTCCTTGATACGAGCATAAGCTATCTACATGTCCAAATCAAATCAAGACTCCTTGATACGAGCATAAACTGTTTACGTATCCAAGTCAAGTCAAGGCTCCTTGATACGAGCATAAACTATCTACATATCCAAATTAAGAGGTAAAGTCTCGAATTCATTGTCGTTCGATTCGTTTTCGTTTAAGTTAAATATGCATGTTCGTTTTAATAAAAGCTTGTATGATTTTATGTGTCTACATGAAATTGGTTTTATTAATGCGAGCATGATTATTTGATTTAAACGCGAGCATGCTAATAATCGAGTAGAGATATCTCTAAGTGGTTCCCAATAATCGAGTAGAGATATCTATGGTATAGTTGTACACCATTAGTCCTTATGACTTAGACATCACCATGACTTCACTAGAGGACCAGCTGTATGGTGACCTGTCCCTGAGTTCCACCGAGGACCATCCCAAGGGCCAGTGTTCGTGCAGTCCGAAATCTAGTGGGAGGTCTATGCATTGTAGTCGGGGATTCGATCGCTAGAATAGTCTTGGATGTTCTGTGTGTTCTTATAGTTTGTAATCTCTCTAAGTGTCTGGCCAGAGCTGACTAAGTGATGATTAGAGAATTTGATTCTCTAAGTCATGCACGTAACGATTACAACACATAGAACGATTGCACCGTCATTGAACAAATAAAGAGGTCTCCATGAACCAATGCCTCTAGTTCAATCGGGACATATGAATCGAAGGGATCGTACTGTACGTTAACTATATCTGAAGGTTCTTGCAGGCACTTCATTTGTATCTAGGGAATCATGACGCGTAGTTGCTAGACGCTAATCTTGATTCGTTGGGTGATCAAGGGGAAACGAGTTTCATCTTAATCGTAACTCTAAGGGACGAGTTTTGACCACACAAGGTTGTGGGCCCACGGCTAGCTTACACCTGAACCATCGAGGGTCACACTGCTCGTGCACATGAGATCTTTGAATAAACGGTCAGAGATAAAATGGTTTATCTTTGCATGATTAGAAGTCAATATGATTGGGTCCAACATTCGTAATTTGGAATTATGAATGAGAATAAGAAAAGGAAAAGAATAGGCGAACATCTTTGAAAGAATTTATGGTCCTGAATTCGTTTAATACAGAGATGTTATCTTAAGTGTTATGACACTTGAGAAAACATGCAGCGGAAATTTAAAGATATAAAGACAATACTCAGATCTAAAAATGTTCACAAGTAAAACTTGTGAACTTGCCCTTTACAGGACGGAAAAATTATATTAAAAACAGTATTCCAAGAATACAAAGAGAAGATGTACGAAAACTTCTTCCTTATGAATGAATCATTCTCATGATCATTCTTACATTCAAATCTAGAAACAAAAAGAGATATATTTAAATTCTAGATTTCAAAGAATGTACTCGTGAGGAGTACGTACAACAGATTCTAGAAACACACTAAAACTCTCGTAAATAAACTTCAGCACTCGGTTTTTGTTTCATCGAAATCTGTCACTTTCTTGAGTCTTGAGTCTGGTATTTATAGACTTTCCAAGCTTCCACTCCTCAGCCCATGATCTGCAAGAAAACCAACTACAAGAGCACTCAAGAAAATGGGTTAGTGGGTTAGTTAAGAAGTTAGGATAATATCCATAATTTAACCCACTAAGCACTACTTAGCCCACTATGTTGGGGATCGTGCATGTATACGCAGCGGAATTTAAAAAAAAAAATTTGATCGAACTAGTTTAGATTACATGCATAAACTAATCACGTAGCCAACGTACCTTAACGCTTCAGCCATACACATGGTAATTAT